CACATATACACACGCGCGCGCGCGCGCATATATAATTAAAGCCTCTCTTTTGTTTCAGTACATTATTGAAATTAGCTTAGCTTTGATTTGTGTCAATACTATTCTCATATTTCTTGTTAGCCGACAAAGTGTTGTTTGTGGTAAAATTAAATAATCTTTTTAAGTAAAACAATGTGATCTTAACGCTGCTAAATATCTAAAATAAATCAGAACAATCAAAGAAAGTTATAATTTTCCAATATAAAAATTCTATTTATATGAAATACTGATTTTAATATTAAAGATATTCGAAATCACAAATTATACAGTGTTAACTTTGTCATTCATTTAGTTTATCCAAGTATATTGACAAGATAATAAATGCTTCGAATAAAAAATATGTAGCAGAGGTAAAAAAAAATTCATAATGCATCGGTTAGTTGCAAAAGAAATGTTGAATATAGATCTATTATCGTTATATTTGCGTCTGCACGTCGCTATATCATCTCACACCTATGCAGTAATGTGAACGTTCTATGTATTGTATAACAGGTGGAAAGCTACGAACGAACGAAAGAGAGGGAGAGAAAGTGTGTGGGGGGAGCGAAGTAGAGTGAGTAGGGGAATGAAGGAAAGAGATAGAGAGGGAGAACTAGGAGAGAGAAATCCCCACTCGAGAAACTCCTCTTCAACTACGATGGAACATTACTATACGCCCTCTGCCCGAGCTAAGAGGAGGAGAAAAACAAGACCGCCTTCCTACTACAGCGCTGTCCTTCTCTTGTCTTTTTTATCCTTCTGCATTTATATTTTTCTTTCTCCATACTTCTCTTTACCCATCTCTTCTTTTCACTGATATTCTCTTTTCTTTAGATTGCCTTGATTTTTATCATTTTTCTACTTTTCTGATTATGTTCCTCAAGTGAAACGTCCGTAAGATAACATGTATTTCTTTTTTTTGTCGCGCATACTATGTATAGCACATTATATCAATAAAGAGATTTATCGAAGCAGTTAGCCTTACACATTTAGATATAGTAATGCACAAGTGGGGTCAAAGGTAAGAGAAAAATTGGCTGAAGTGTCTTTTCCCACCTTTTCAAACTTAAAATTTTCACCGATAAAATGGCGATTACAAAGTAGAAATATCATCTCAGATTGTACAAGTATTTATGTGGTATAAATATTTGTGTAAAATATGGTGATACAATTATGGTCTGGGCAAAATATCATCGTGCTTCATTAATTGTATTTTATATTACATACATGCTTTTTCTCATCTTTTTCTTTTACATAATATTGTAATTTCAAAAATGTTGAAAATTATTGAAAAGTAATGATTATTATAATATTATCTTCAAATATTAATATGGAATGAAAGCTAATATTTCCGTATATAACAATTTCATAAAATTTATTTAGGTAGTTATATCTGTTGGTCTGGCGTAAATACAAACTTATAAGCTATAGCAAGCTACCCCTGTGTCATAGTCCAATGTGAAATAATCGAAAATTTATTCTAAATTCAACTAGTATTTAAGGCTCATTAAGCTATTAAAACAAAAATGTTTTGTTTCTTTACCCCATCAATAGCGCAATCTGTCTAATTTAATAAAAATCAACTGTAAAAATAATTTAAAATTAAATAAAACTTTCCTTATTATCAATACCTTTTATTATTTTAATCTTAATTTTAATTTTGTATTACAAATTAAATTTTCTTCTTTATTACTTATTCAATGATAAGATACTTCAAATTATTTTGAGCACAAAATTTAATTTATCATTTTCCATTAAATATTTTTAATATATTTTTATTAAATATATATATTTAATATTAGTTAAATAATTTAATAAATAATTGTTATATATAAAAAAAGTTTTTATTCGATTCAAATAAGCTACATCTGTTTCATCACAATTATATTTTTTACAACTAAGCAAATTAAACCTTACTTAAGTTTGTACTTTTAACTCTTTCTGCATTAATAGACGCGTGCACACAAGCGCGCGCGCATATTGATAGGTGATCCATTCGTCATACCATGTATATTGTAGATCTTCATATACCAATGACTACAAACTGTAAGAACAACTAATTGAAAATACACTATTAAAGATGATTTATATATGGAAATGATAAAAGCACTAGAATACAAGAGTCTTCATATTCTTTAGTTATCTTTAATAACCAAATCTTTAATTATAAAACAAGATATTAACACTGAAGTTTCAATAAAGAAGAAATTAATTAAAATAAAGTAATAATTAATATTTTTATAATATATTAACTAGGTAAATATTAAATAATAACTATGATAGTTTGTTTGAATTGTAAATATTGATTTTTTCTTTCCGTAAATTTTCCTATAAATTAAATTTTTTATGCTTTTAATTGCATATTAAGTAGGAAAAAGTAATTTAAAGTTTTAACCATTGATATGAAAAAAAGCTAATTCGAAATTATACATTTTATAAAAGGGCTTATATTGAAAATATACATAGAATAAGAATAGAGTTAATTTTTTGTTATAATACATACAAATAATTTATTTTATGTTAACTGTAGTGAAAAATATTTTGAACTTATAATTGAAAATTTTAAGGATTTGAGTAAAAGCATATTTTTTTATTTATAATCTTGCTGGATAATTGATACGAAGATGATGTATGATTTCAATAACCCCCAATGATTCTTCATATTCAATATTTTTACCGATACACAATTAGATTATGCTTGAGTTACCCTTTCAAGGAATACAATGATGATTGGTATAGTTATACAAACTAAAAAATCGATCTGTACTTTGATAAAAAGTCAATATATTTTCTCATAGGATATAATCGTAATTTCGTAATTTCTTAATTTCTTAATGTGTAATTCTGTGCATGCAGCAGTATTGCGATATTCAACTACCAAAAAACAACGTTCTTTCAACTCACTGTATACATCTCGAAATACATATCAAGAGAGCTAACACAGTATAGTATTAGAGAAGCGAATATTCTTACACAATTTGACCTCTTCTGAAAAATGTGAGCGCGTGCAGATAATACACGGGCTCACACAGTCCCTACGTTCATTAACGCTATTACTCCCGTCCACTTATGATCTTCACTCACCCTCTCTTCTCACACTCTATCTTTATGTTGTTCTTATGTATTCTGTATTCTTACATCTTGCGAATGCATTATCTCCATGTGTGAGTATTACATTCGGGTTGCCGAGACAGTAGCGTTTCTCTGAATAAATGACTGATCTTGACTTTCTCCGAAAAATCTCGTCCGTGAGAAGCGACTGTTCATCGAAAGTTACACACATTTCTTAGCATATAGTACAGTATTCGAATGAATCCATTGTTGATGTATAATTGGTTAGCCATATTGGAAAGAAAATATATACTTAAATATGAATATTTCATAATTTCGTTAAAGTTGCAAGTTTATAATAATTCTTAATATTAATATTATATTTTTATATCTTATATTATATTAATATTATCTTTATTATTATATTAATAAAATTAATAAATAAATACACAAAGTATACTTTCAGTTTTATCATTATAATTAATTATATACCTAATTTATATAATTCCAATTATTTTTTTAACAGACTTTGTTTAACAGCAATGGAAATTATAATGAGTCAATAAAAGTATTTAAATAGAAAATTTCTCTGAACACATATTTTATTCGTAAATTGGTACAAACCATTTCGAATGTTTAAAATTGGTATAAAAATATAAATTATACGAGTTTTAATAACGCATTATATAGAATAATTCTTAAAACTTTCATGTTTTGTTAATTCATAGAGAATTTCAATTCGATATAAAATTATAAAGTACTGTAAAAAATTTCGGAGAATATACAAAATTATTAATGATTAATAATATATATAATATTATTAGTAAGCGTGAGTAATCTAAAAAATGTCCCTAAATGGATTTATACATTTTTAAATATGCTTATATAGATTAGAGAACTACTCGTGCGAATACTGGACGCTGCGTCAGAACAAAGTTGGAACGCTCACGGATCAATAAATCTACGAACGTATATTTAGTTATCTTGAATCTCGTGAGCGCACTCGTATTCTCGTTATGTGTTATCTCGCCGGCATTATACGATCGGCTGTGATATTTCAGTCGAGGCAACTTTTAATACGCGAATAGCCTTCTTATTACATTTCCGATCGTCCATGTGAATCTTTTCTCTATCGGCTTAAAGGCACGATTATGCTTGCAATTTTGTTTATATTCATCTCTGTTCCTGTACTTTATATCTACAAATATAAGGCATTGCTTTATTGCCTTTTTCTATAAACATCGATATAAATTATTCATTCACTGCAAAATATCAGTAATGAAACGGGAATTAAAAACTTTTATATTATTATTTTCAGTTTAAATATTATTCATGAATTATATTCTTACTGCATAATCAATAATTATGCTTTTTTTAATTTTCTGGTCATATAAATAAAGCGGTATAGTTTTGTTCTGAAACTATTTAAATCATAAGGATATGGAAATATAATTGAAATTTAGTACGAGATTATTATTTTGTATCTGTACTTTTCATCAGTTACGGTTTTAATAATAGGAAAACGTCAGTGTGTAAAGTTCACAAGTAATCATTATTGAGTGAGAAATCTAGAGAAAACAAATGCTTATTGCATAATTGAATGAAACAAGTCTCGAGCATCCAATATAATTTTAAAATTAATTATATTACGAAAATAGCGTCAGTATTCATTTGAAATTGCAATTAATAAAATTGTTTGCATGGTCGATTTTTCACAATGCAGTTTACGAATTTACTTTATTAAAGGAATTAAATTGTAATTTAGGTCAATTAAAATAATTTTAAAAACAAGCAACTTTTTGAAAAAAGTTCTTGTTCAATTTTAAAATTGAATGAGCTCGAAAGGGTTTCACATAATTACAGCCCAAGGGAAAGGTAATGCATGCATGATTGTGGAGCCCACACGCGACGTATATAAGTTGTAAACTCACCTTGGAAGGGTCCTGTTGCTGTTGCAGCAACTGCTCCCTAAGCATTTGCAGCTGAAGGATCATCTCGGACAGTCTGCGTTCCTTTTCAGCAAAGCTCTCGGCACACAATGCCCTGTGGAGGGCCACCGCGGCTCCGTCGGACTCCTGTTGGCCCGTGTCCGCGTTCTGTGTTCGGCTCGTGCCAGTTGGCGAGGGCGCTACGCTGTTCGCTAAGCTACTGCTGCTACTGTAAAAGCAAATGGAAGCGATGCCTCTGTAAATCCGAAGTGGCCAGTGCCTACCTAACGCCCGCGGTGCTTTGTAATTCCAACGTTCGTGAGCAACCGCTTCATGTTCGAGTCAATCCAACACTTATTGTACAAACTTGACCTTCGTCTCCATTTCGCTGATATGATTTATGCAAGAATTTTTAAGCTTATTTACAGAATGACGAGTTTGTACTTGTAATAAATATTACTTGCAATTCGAACTTTTCTCAGTTCTGTACCTACAATTTCAACAATTGATATTGAATATATGAGAGAAGTTTAGCATTGTGTAGTATATAAGTGTAATTTAAAATGTTCTTGTTGACGTTGCTTTGAAGCTATATTTAGTAACTTCTTGTTTATCTAATTTATTTACTTCTAATTCTAATTCATTCAATTGTATTTACCAAATTATGTAAATTGAAAATATGTCTCTAGATAGATTGTGTAGATTTGAAGATTTAAACTGCTAAAATTTTACTTATTTACAATGACATAAGCTATTTCATTAATTAACTTTTAATTTAGACATTTTAAATTTTACTTTCATATAAAAAGTAAGCTTTTGAAATAAAATGACGAATAATTTTTTTGTTTTAAATGATATTTTTTCTATCTAAAATTAATAAGTAAATTTGAAACAATTACATATTATTATGGATATATAATACTATTATGTATTTTGTCATACATACATTATGAATATATATTACATACATATTATTATGGATTTATTTATAAAAAACTAATATAACTAAATTAATAATTGTTATTAATACGATAGATTTTTTTATTTCATCGAGCGATTAAAATTTTAGTTCTTAATAATATCAAATAAAAAATACAAAAATAAATAATATAAAAATTTTTAATCATATGTATTTCATTCCAAATACATCATAGAAATTATAAAAGTAATAAATTATATCACCATAGAGCGTATTGTGATTAATACAACGAAAATTTAAATAACTCTACTAATATTTAATATTTATTATAGAAATAATGAACAATAATTAAACGGCAGCAAGAAATAAAGAAAATGATTGTATCAAATATCATTCCTTGTTCACTATCTTTAACGAATGAAGAATAATAATTCAACCGTCAGAATCGTTAATCTAAATTTGTAGTTCAAAATGTTGACGATAGAGTGCTTATAAATGCTTAGCTACGCGTTCAACAGACGCTTGTTCAGTCATAAATGAAAAAGAGGCCGCGCATCGCGCTTTTTGGCCTAGACACAAACGTCGAGCACAGTGCCTTAGCTTGCCGCGGGCTCTTTAGAACTCCATGAATAATAAATGTACTTGCGGTCGCGCAATCTCACTAGAACGAGTGTTTACACCGTTGATGGGTCACCCTCTCATTCTACCCCCGTGAGCCCCAAGCTGTTTTGTAATGCGGTAAAACGAACCACGAATAAGTGATGCACACCGGATATTGTATAACTCATTGCTCCTCGATACTTCTGCATGTTCTTTCATATCTCTCTTTCTTAACTTCTCCAACTCTCTAATTGATGCAAATTGATGGAACGTAAAGTTGACGTTCCATCGAATGCTAAGCCGAATCCTATAAAAGCTTTTTCAAGTTCCTGATTTCCAGTAATTTATAGAACAACAAAATATTATTTTATTCGAACGCGAATATCTCGAAAATTTATAGGCATATTTAAATTCTAGTAAGAAATTATTACAAATATCAAAATAACGAGATTTGCGTAGTAGGTTATGGTCTCTTATTTGTAGGTATCACAAAAATCTTTCTTATCACAAATGACTCTAATTAAGTCACGAATTACAGCTGATTCAAGAAAACGGAAAGCTTGATTCCATTCATACGTATCAATAACCTTCCTTGCTTAGTGCGTCCGCAGAAGCTTCAGTTATTATTACTATTGTTATTATTATTGTTATCATTATTGTTGTTATTTTTGTTATTGTTGTTGTTCAAGAACAGAGAGCAACTAAAACTAATTGCCAAAGTTTTATTACAGTTATTTTTTCGTTTCGCCTTCTCATACAATTGATATACAATTTTGACTTAGGTTGAACGAATTTCATGTGTGTAATGGAAACAACTTCTTATAAATATAGTGTAATACTTGGAGCAGATGCCAACCATAAAAATGCAAGACACATGTTATACATGCATAAAAAAAATAAGAAAAAAAGAAGCTAGTTCTACTATCCAATACTTCGGCCGAATAGAAAAAATACTAAGTTTCATTTTAATCAAATCATATTTTGTGAGTTTTATATATACTTTTATTTGAGTGAAATAATTAGTATTTTAATTTGTAGCGTGAAAGTATGGCTTTACCATAACTAATATAAATTTATATTGTAGACGTATTCTATTTTAATTGTTAATTATCTTGTTTAAATTGTATTTTATAAAAAGACAAGTCAAAAAAAGTTATGAATAGATTCTGTATAAAAATCATTAAGATTTTCAATTTAATATAAAAAAATTTAAGTATATTGTTAAAATAACCTTAAATTAGTTAATGAATGAATAATAAATTAAAAAGTAAAAATAAGAAATCCTATATTTAATTTGAACATGATATATTTGCCTGCGTTTACCTATTGCCAAGGGAAAATTTCTTTGCTTAAATTATCATTATAAAGTTGTTTATACGTTATTCTTTCAACTTCATTCATGGAGCATACTGACACTTAAAGAATAACGTTGTTTCGGTTAAAAGAATAAGGTCGATAAGCAGCAAAATAAAAGATACCATGTAAGTCCGAGATAGTTTTCTTAATTTCTTATCGTTTACTCGTGGCACTATTCTGTCTTCTTTCCTCGTAACCACCTACATCTCTTTTTGCGATAAAGTCATGCCTAAAATATATAATTTCAGTATTATTCTTAGCCCTGACTTATCGCTTTTGCTTATTTTTTTCTTATCTTTTTTTATAAATGGTATAACAAAACCGTGTTCATTCGATAAATGAGAATACAACATGTTAGTTTTGCTACGTATATATGGCGATTCTTCATCTTCTTTTTTACGACTAGTAGCCAACAAATTACGAATTTACGATTCAAATAGATGCTTCTAGTAGCTATACTGTTCGAGTTTACATTAACCCACTTTCAAAATTTCAAATGAAAATCAGATATATGCACATAGCATAGTCGGTTATTAGTAATTACCAAATGTTGACTGAATTCCAACAAAACCTTAAATTTTCTAAGTCTAAATCTAATATAAATTAAATTATTATATTTGCTAATTGCTAGGCTAGCAATTAATTATGAAAATGATATAATATTAAAATAAAAAAATTATTTAGATTTATATATATATATATATATATATATATATATAATCACTTATTATATGATATTTATTCACATACGCAGAGGCATATATGCATTGATTATACGTAGGTTTTACTTTGATAAATTAACTATTTAAAAATAATTTTCTGTTATGTATATATTATAATATGTATACAAAAATCAAATTCATATCTAAGAATTTTTATCAAATATACATAATAACAATGAAGAATTTATAGAAATATAAACACGCATAATTATGTTTAAAATTTGACAATATACAAGTGTCAATTTTAAGTGATAGAAACTAGTATTTATGTCGAAAGCTTCCAATCGTAAAAACTGAAAGCAATGATAGATGTTTCTTTTGTATAATATTTTTGCATTGGATGTTATTATATAATAAAGAAACTGTAAGTTATTACGTGCATTAAGTTATTATATAAAATATAAAATATTGAATAAATATGTAGTTGTTTTTAAAATTGAAATATTCAAGTAAAAATTTTTGTCTTCTCTTTAATTCAAATATATTATTATAAAGGTGAGGTTTATTAAAAAAATTGTAGTAATAGTTTTGATATTTTAACTAACAAATTTTATATGCAAAAAAAGAAGTTTATATATCTATTAGAACTTTATGGATTATGTTGATTTGTGATTAATTTTAATTTTAATAATTAGATTTTTTTTCAAATACAGAAACTATACTGTAATGCAATAAAATATATTTAATTTAAAATACATATTTACTATAAAATAAAATAAAAAATAAAATAATATAAAATACGTATTATTTATTGAAATTACACATTTTATTAATTAATTATAAAATACTAAGCAATCATAGCAAAATTAATTTCATTTTTGATTCATTTTTAATTCATAATTGGAAGAAATATGATGAAATGTTTAATACATCATCATATTGCCGTCTCTCAAATTGCATAATTTATATCATTATTGAGAACGTTATATAACTTTTATCTAAAAGACATGAAGTTTATGTCAGAATATTAAATTTAGGTTTTTTATAAGTTAAAACAAATTAAAATGTAATACGTAAAAATTTAATTGTGGTATGTAAAAGTTTAACTGTAATTTTTTTAATTCTCTAAAATTAATAGTTGTTCTTTAACGATCAATCTTCTATTCAAATAATTGTAATAAGAAAAATTATGCTAAAGAAAACTTAGAAAAAATTTGTTAATATTAGTAAACTAATTATCACAATATTTTATAATTTTATATTTATCTAACATAATCTATCTTTCTATCTTTCTATTTATCTATCTATCATATCTGATATAATTAATAATTTAAGGGCTTAAATTATTTTCTATGAAATCTTAATAGATTTAAGATAAATTAACTGAATTGAAGTATATATAACTTTTTAGAAATTTTTGTAATTGATACCTAACTAAGAAGTAAAGCATACATTGTTAATCAATTCTAATTTAGGTAAGATAATTGAAACGTAAATTATTATATTTTCTTTATATTTGTTATGATTTGGTTTAGGTAAAGTCATTTCTGATTTTTACAGTAATTATGACAAGATATGAAATCAATTGAAGTTGTTAATTCTTTTGGCAAATTTTTATTTCAAGTATTTTACAGATAAGCTCACGAAAAATTTAATGTAACGCGTATACAAAGAGACAGACCTGTGCGTATTGTGGCTGGTTGGTGTGGTGGAAGGTGGTGGTGTCCGCCTACTATTTGCGTCTTCGAGCGACAGAGACACTCTACTCTTTTTGCAGGTAAGCCTTTTGAGAACGTCGTCCATGGATCTCTTACCGGCAGCGGTGGTCGGTCCAGTGCCGTTGTTGTTATTATTATTATTATTTTGAGTGGCAGTGTTGTTGTTATTGTTATGGTGATGAGGATGATGTTGATGGTGTGGATAGTAAGGGTGATCGGATGGCAGAGCGGGCGGCGAACCGCACTCGGATGAACTAGCGGGTTCATGAAGTTGACTCGAGGCTGGTGAAGAGTTCGTCCGGTGATGATGATGATGTGGGTGGTGGTGATGGTGATGAGGGTGGTGGTATCCAGTCGTAATATTATTATTCTCGGGTCCGACTGTAGCAGCGACCGCGGCCACGGCGCCTAAAAGTAGTTGGAGTTTGGGTCGCTTGGCGTCCGTAGGCCCGTATGGGGAAGGCGACGAACAAATTTCCGGCTCACTCGTGGCTGGTGACGAACATCCAGATGACTCGCCGGGTAAATGATAGGAACCAAGCTGTTGCTCTTGTTGTTGTTGCTGTTCCTCATCTATGTCGGGCTCATCTGCGATAATGTTGCAGTTACTAGCACTGGTAGGTAGCTCACCGCCAGGACCAGCCAAGGACGAACTCGTGTCTTCTTCCTCCTCGTTGCCCGCCACTGTTCCCTGTTGACCGCCCCCACCCTCCGATAACTTTGTTGGTGGCGACTTCCTCTTCGAGGACATCCTTAGCCTGTAATACACAAACAAAATAACCATACATAAATGTGACTAAACGTATATGAGCGTCCAATTCGTTTATACTACAAATATTCCAATAATTCAAAGCGATTTAGTTATACGGTTTCACTTTATCTGAATAGTTATCAAGTCTTTTTATTTAGATATAAAGAATAGAACAAGAAATCATATTTTCATATGTTAGTTAGAGATACATCGAACCATGTATTACATTCAATGGTTTAATTCATACAGTTTTTATTACAGTAATTATTATATTAATATTATGCATATTACATTAAATGGAAAAAATTTACAACTTAACGAGAATTGCAAAGTATTGTAAAGAAGACAAGTTTTTCAATTATATTGTGTATAATATACATTTTCATATTATATTTATATGAAAAACATTGATTAGCTTATAATTATCGTATAAAATGAAAAAAAAAATAATTCTCCATCTTCCTTTTCTACTTATTATTATTATTATATATTATACGTTTTTTAATTTATATATTTATGTATTCATTAAGGCGATAAATATGTAAATCTTTCTATATACCTAAAATATCCTAAGTTTTAGCTTAAAAATTAAATTTGTCTTGAAATAATATTAAAATCTAAGGGACTATATCACGATAACAATTATTATGCTTACGTTTGAATCTCTAAGAAGCTTGTTTCTTACAGATTATCAAAATTATTTTATTTCTTAAATGATCATAAACTTCGTAAATTTAAAATAAGTTAGTTATATATAAAAATTTCAAATTGTTATAATTTTATACTAAATAATTACTAATCATCTGATGTGACAGAATATATATATATCATTAACTCTTAAAAAATAATTTAATCGATTATCCAAATATAATTATATAGGAAATATACTATATATACTTAAATTTAATTACATTAAATATTTTACTACATATTGATCAGTGTAACAAAGAAGTAAACTTTGAATTAAACTATATTTTGAATGACATTTTCTTGTATAATTTATGAACATTTTACGTTCACAATAAAACATTAATTTTGATATAATATCTGTATATCTTTTCATATTACTATTAATTCCTTTAATATAATTATTATTAAATTATCGAAAATCGCTTAGATTAAAATAAAACACAATTCTGAAAAATAATTGTAGATAATCAACTTTTTAAATAATAGTTTAATAGTAATGATCTTAATACTTATCAGTAATAGTTGTCACATGTTAATAAATTTTTTTAATTAATTTATTCTCTGTTATAAATGATTAAATAATAAAAGTATTTCAATTACAAATAATCATTTATTATAAATCCGGTGAATTTTATTATATTGTATTATGAATTTATATATCTACGAAATAGGACGAAAAAGACGTGAGACGGAAGACACGGAAGTCAACGAGTAAAACACGATTTAAGGATAGAATGACTCGTTTCCTTACATCTCAATGCATACATATGCGGAAGCCATAAGTCGTTAACGAATGGGCACTCGTCTGAAATATGCGACACATCTGCAAATGTTTCGATAATTTGCTCGTCAGTCTAACCGTTTGGTTATCTATTAATTTCCGTTTATAAATTACTTAATCTAAATCGTAAAATTAACTTGCTGCGGATGCTGATGCATAAATGCCAAGATTTCATATTCAGTTTTAGGAAAGTTTCGAAGATAACGATCCCATGCATAAGAATTATTGATACAAAATCTTAAAATTTCAACATTTCTAAATAATGCAAAAAATAAATATAAATATAAATAAAATCATAATAATAATTATACTTATGTTATACCAATTATACTAGTTTTATATCATATACAAATATAATCGACATATCATAAATGTATAATCGAATATACTATATGCAAACATAAATTAATGTTTTATTGTAAAGAAACACGAGTCGTAGTGAGTGAACTGTGAAGATAATTAACCAAAGATTATTATTATTAAGTAAAGATATGTGTATACGATTATTTTTAATTTAAAAAGTATTAAAAAAACTCTTATTTGTCATACTTTATCAGCGACTATCGTAATTTCGAGTGCTGTCTACATATGTTTATTGCGTAAATTAAAATAATACGAAGAATAACAATTATTAAGGAACTATAGATTATTTTAAGATAGCTTTTTTCTATTAAAAATTAATTTGTACTACTATTAAGCTAGTTACTGACTTATGTAATTAAAATTTTACTGAATATTGATAAATTTTTATTATCTGTAACTAAAATTATAATTAACTAAATTATAATAAGGAAAACAAAATAATAATAGTGTATTTATTTATCATATTTTGTTGGGACTTAATAAAATATTTTCACTTTGCTTAGTCTCAATCAGAGTTATTAGTTAAAATTAATTATAATGTAAATACTTTTAATATATATTTTTTAAATAATAATAGATTATACAAAAAAATCATAAAAATTATAATAGTAATGAAGCAACCTACCACGATCTAGAATTTAAGAATACTGAATCTTTGATTTTATCTATTAATCTTGGATTTCGATTTAATTTTATCATATAATTATCAAAATGAAATTTTTTTCTTTATCATAAAACATTAAATAATGAATACATCATAATTATAAAAAATATAATTTATTAATAGTTGCAATATAATAAGAGAAAACAGCATAAAGTAGAAAAAATTAAGCGTTAATTTTCTCTTTTGAATTTATTATTTTATTGTAATATAAATACACATGGAAACAATTATTACGAAGAATCAGAATTTTTTATGTTCATCTCATAATGTTTGCATTGCAATCGCATAAGCATCGTCATGTGTGAAATACGTATTTTTAAATTTCCATACACACACAAGAATTTAAAATGCAACAAGCATGATAAAAATACGTATAAGATAAAAAATACTTAAATAATATTGTAAAATTTATTTGCTAATCTCGATATGAAACAGCGTAAACTGATTAATAATGCCGATTTATATAAAATATACATAGGTGTTAATTTATATGGAAAGTTTTTTCTATTTACATTCAATGTTGAATATTATAATTGATGTATGGCATTATTATTCGATATTTCAAATCAATAAAAATGATTTAATAAAGAAATTCGATCAAAATTTATATAATTTTACTTGAATCGATACTTGAGCATTTTATTTATTCAGCATATCTGCTTAAATTAGAAAATATATACGTAGAAAATATATTTAAATACCATTTAATTAATACATATTAATAATTACATTTGTATTCGTGTCAGATCAGTTAATATTTGTTATTTAAATTAGGAAGCAAATATTTTTAGAAGTAAATAATCTATATAAAGTTTAAATACAAACAAGTCAATTTACCCTAAATTTACGTAAAAAAATGCGGTGAAGGTATCGAAAAGGTATACTCAATTTTCATTTTGTACATGAATATGCATATATATGGTTTGTTCGATTTAACCAATAAAATTGTGAATAAAAAAAAATTATTTAATATTTTATTTAATAATTATTAAATAATTATTTAATATTTTATCAATGATCTATAAAGACGTTATATAATTGTATGGAAAATTAATATATTATTATATAATCCAAAAAGAATTGAAATAAACTTCTCACAATGAAATAAAAATTAATATATTCAATCGATTAAGTTTAATATATGTATAATGCAAGAATTATAATTATTTTATATATAATATATATAACGTTTAAACTAATTTAATAAGTTATAATTATGCTACTATTCTAATATATTACTTTTTGTAATTATTTAATATAAATCTCACAGTTACTTAAAATTTAGAGAGAACAATAGTAACATTCTCTTATATCGAAAAAGAAATATTTCACAAAATTAAAAGATTGTACCTCGTAACCGGACGCAATCACTTCGCAAACGGTATAAGTCTTTTCCTCTCGACATAGCTGTCTAACAGGCTGAACAAAAACAGAGGGCACCGAATGAAATATTTTTAACAGTCCCCAGATGTCGTCAGTCAGATTTTTAAGTTTCTCATGTGCACAAGAACAAAATTTCTTTTTAAGAATTGTATCGCATCGTAACTGCGTTGTGAAAAGACCCATATTGTGGATATTTCCATTTATGATGTATATACCTTCATCGTTTGATATAAAATTCTGAATTTATTCTCTTTTTCTTGTGCCTATCAAAATTTGATAGTCCAAAGAACAGTAGAGTTGATCAAAAACTTTGTTAATCTTTTGTTACTGATAATTTTATTACATAATAGAAAAATACTGATCCATTGACATACTGATGCTATTATATTAAGAAGAGAATTCAGAAGTTTATATTTTTTATATTGTTTTTTTATGCACTTTCATAAAATTTCATAATGGAGTAGATATATAAATAACTATAAGGATATAAATATATTTATTTTTGAAATTATTTTTTAACATTACTTTAATTATATTATACAAAATCGTATTAGAAAATAAATTAAGGTTTTTTTTTGATATGAAGTTTATTATGGTAATCGATTTTCATATTGATAATCGTCTATATGAAGAAAAATTTGACCTTTTTAAGTTCGTTCGCATTTGTATAGTTACCACAATTAAAATATTATGAAATTACAGTATTGTAGATATTTAGCAACTGAAGTGATAAATATACTGTATCAATCATATAGTTCTCTCTCTCTCACTCTCTCACTCTCTCTCCCTCACTCTTTCTGTCCCTTTCTTACATTCTCTTACGCACACGTGGATTCGCAGTCACTGTATGCTAATGTCCATCCCAGCTATCCACAACAGTTTATCAAAAAAGGTCGAACATCTAAAGCGTATTTGCATCACTGATAAATTATCATTGGAAACAATGTTATGCTTGCATTTAAAATTATACATAAACTCTATAATAAGAAGTGAGATACAGTATTATGAATCTGAATACAAAATAATAAGATTTTGATAGTTTTTAAAATAGTTTTTATCAAAAATTTCAATATTATATTTTCTGCATTTACAATATTCACAATATTTATATACGAAGAAAACAATA